AAAAGAGGGCTAGGGTTGTGGCTGAGCGGTAGAGTGCTCTCCTAGCACACGTGAGGTGCTGGGTTCAATCCTCAGCACCACATGAAAATAATAATACAATAAAGGTATTGTTTTCAACTACAACTAAAAATGTATAATAAAAAATATTAAGCAAACAGTGAAAAAGATGAAGAATGGCAACTAGACTGAAAGCCATTGCTTGTTATAGTGCAAACTAGAAAGAAGTGGAATTAATGGTATACTTGAAAAGGGAGTATGTTGTCTTTCAGTCCTGCACATAGCAAGAATAGAAGATAATATAAAGATTTTCAGAGAAAGCCCAACTTGGGAGATTTTATTTTAAAATACTAAATGTTTTTCTTGGGGAAAAGGAACATATTTCAGAATAAAGTTCTGAGATGCAAGAAAGAATGATCAAAAGTAATCAACGTTTATGTGAATCTAAGTAAATATTGACTGGTATAAAACTAAAATAATATATACAGAAGGCACAGGATAGTCTTTGATTTTTTTAAAAATTACTTTTTAGTTGTCAATGGACCTTTATTATATGCAGTGCTGAGAATTGAACCCAGTGCCTCAAACATTCTAGGCAGGTGCTCTACCACTGAGCCACCATTTCAGCCCCTAATCTTTTATTTTAATCCTTTAGCTACTGTGATGTTTACTCTCTGGCTCAAAAAATTCAATAGATATGATGTGGGGTTTTGTTTTTAATTTCCTTTTGGTACTGGGGATTGAACCCTTAGATGCTTTTTGCAATTATAATGATCTACAAGTTATAATCATTGTGTGGTTAATATTGTTTTTGGAGTCAGGCTTCCTGGGTTTGATCCTGACTTCAAACAGTCTTTCTGTCGTATGCTTAAGAGCGAACCCACTTGTTAGGGATCAAATCCAGGACCACGTCCATTTCTGTCTTTTTTTTTTTTTTCCTGTGTTCCTCTCAAAATGGGTTAATCTGTAAGGGGAAATAGTAGTGCTTATAATGTGTTATTGCAAGAGTTTGGAGAGGTGGGTCAAGCATGGTTGTGCACATTTGTAGTCCAGCTAACTCGGGCTAAGGCAGGAGGATCACAAGTTCCTGGACAATGTAGTAGAATCCTGCCTCAAAATAAAAAAGTCAGGGGACATCATASAGTGCCCCTAGTACCCCCCTCTCCCCCCAAAAAAAGTCCATTTAGTACAGTTGCCTAGCTTACAGAATTGCTTATTACATTTGCTGTTGTTGTTATGGTGCTTACATTTTTCCCCTCCGTTACTTGAAAGTCTTTTTCAAAGTATGTAGTTTCAGTGGATTCTAAAATGCATATTTTTGTTCATTTTTACCTCTCTGAAAATTGGGATGCTACTCATAATAACTTGGTGTTCCATAGTTAGAAATAAAGTTGTTTTTCCTTTGTGATTTTTGCTTTCTTTGTCATATTTTTTTTATTTTCTTGTTGCAGTTTTATATTATTCTATAGTAATGGTCTTTTGCAATGTGTCTTATTTTTAAAGCTAATTTTCTGTGACATAGGGTTTTTTAATATTTTTTAATTGTAGCTGGACACAATAATGTTATTTATTTATTTATTTTTTTAATATTTATTTTTTAGTTCTCGGCGGACACAACATCTTTGTTGGTATGTGGTGCTGAGGATCGAACCCGGGCCGCACGCATGCCAGGCGAGCGCGCTACCGCTTGAGCCMCATCCCCAGCCCCATTATTTATTTATTTTTAATGTGATACTGAGGATCGAACCCAGAGCCTTGTACGTGTTAGGCAACCGCTTTACCACTGAGCCACAACCCCAGCCTCTGTGACATAAGTTTAACTTGAACTTCATCTCGTAGTTATTTTGATGAAACATTAGTTTTCATGTATACTTTTGAGGGTAAGACAGCAGAATTGCTTTCCATTCAAAACCACATGCTTTATTAAAAAGTTTATAAAGTATTTATATGAGTGTTAACTGCTTTTCAAGTATTAATTTACTTTAATGTTTAAAATAAAGAATTCTTACCTCAATTTGTAATTTAGGCTTAGGTGAGAGGTTTTTCTCAGGATTACATTATTCCAAGTTCATGTAAGAGCTGTTTGAAATTCRTATGTGATTCTAGGGCCTCAATCATTATATGTTTAAATAGTAACTGAAATAACTCTTTTGCTTTACTTAAAGCCCTATACAACTTTGCATAGCAATCCTGTGAATCAGGGGTGCTTCTTGTAAGTAAATGACCCTTCCACTGCATATTTTTCACATCCAGGTCTTATTCATTAAATGACTATTATAGCTGTGCATGGTGACACACDTCTGTCATCCCCAAAGCCAGCCTGGGCAACTTAATAAGACCCAGCCTTAAAATAAAAAGTACTAGGGATGCATGTGAGTGATAGAGTGCCCCCGGTTCAATCCCTAGTACCACCAAAAAAGAAAAAAAAAAAAGATAAAAAAAAGATTGAGAAGTTTGATACCTCTTTGTGAAAAGTGTGCTATTATACCTGCTGTTTTCTTGGGTGTAGACTTATCTAGTATTATCAGAATTGAGGAAAGAGGAAGAATTTAGTATACAAATAGATTTTCTCCTGTTTAAAAAAGTTTAGACTGGGCTCATGGCTCAGTGATAGAGAGCTTGCCAAGTATGTGCAAGACCCTAGTTTTGACTCCTCCCAATGCAAAAACAAAACCAAAAACAAACAAAAAAAACTTGACATAAATTAAGTACCGTTACTCATTTTCTATTCTTCTGTCAGTAAGAAGTTATGTTGTACCTAAATTTCCAAATCATAATCACCAATCAATCAGTGCCTATCAAAGGCAGAGTGCAGGAGTACTGCCCTGGTGCAGGCAGGAAGCTGGAGAGGCAGCTATTGGCTGTAGAGATTTTTGTGTGTGCCTGTGTGGTGTGTGTGGTGCTAGGGATTGAACCCAGGCCTATGTGCATTCAGGGGAAGCATTCTACCAACTGAGCTATATCCTCAGCCCAGCTGTAGAGAAATGTAATACACTAATAAAACTTGACTGAAAGGTATATGCTTGTTGTTGTCCTACAACAGGAAATTCTGAACTATGTCAGTGATAAACTACTCACTACTACCATTGCAATTTCAAAGCTTCAGCCCTGGCTCCTAAGATATTGAGTGGACCWGTGCATGGAAAAGGGTATTTGTGTCTGACTCTTTTTTTCCTGTGTTAAGTTTAAAAACATTTTTTGGTTGATGAACCAAAAGAACACAATTTTTAAAAAACATGAAGGGTTGAGCATGTAGCTCTGAAGTAGAGTGTTTCAAATATGGTGGTTAGAAAACATTAGGCAAGCAATAGAGTGTAATTAAACTATTGTTTCATTGGTTCCCTACATATAAGTCATGTTAGTTGTACCATATGGAAACTCAAAAAAAAACTTGAGTACAAATGGGTTTATTATTAGAGTGCAGAGGAATTTCATGGGACATAATTGCAGAAAATGTAATTAGGCCTCCCGGAAACTCTTTTCAAAGTTATATAAATGGATACTTATTTTTTATGTGGTACTGAAGATCCAACCCAGTGCCTCACATGTGTCAGGCTAAGCATTCTACCACTGAGCCACAAACCAGCCCAGAAGCTGTGTCTTAAATCAGCAATTTTGTTTTGGGGTTCTGCAGTTCCATCCACTAAATTTTATCTTTGTTGGACATATTTGGGTGTTGGTGATACCTTAAAAAGCTGGTTTTGAGGCTGGGGTTGTGTCTTAGCAGTAGAGTTCTTGCCTCACACACATGAGGCCCTGAGTTTGATCCTCAGCACCACATAAACATAAATAAATAAAATAAAGGTATTGTGTCCAACTACAACTAAAAAAATATTTTTTAAAAAAGCGGGTTTTTATTTTTTTAAGCCCTGTGAGCCAGGACCAATAGGGAATTCATGACAACCTAATAAATAGTTCAGCATTTGCCAGTTTTCATGAAAGCTGAATCCCTATTACCTGTAGGTCATAACCTTAGGCTCATTAATTTTCTGCCATGTGGATCCATCTTCTGGTGCCTACGATCCAGGGGTGGGACCTTGGCAGAAAAGACAAAAGTAAATTATAGAAAGGGAATGAAATTTTCTGTGTCCTTATATACTTGAGAAGGATCAAGCCCTGTCATTTGGTTGAATAAAGTGAGAAGTGTTATTTGTGCATCCCACCCCTCTCTTCATTTCTCAGCATCTCCACCTTTTCATAGACTTCTCCCTTCTTCTTCCCCCATGCTCAGTCTCTTCTGTGTTTGTGATTAAATAATGCACRCAAAAGATTGCTTTAAATGGTAATGCTTTAAATAATTACGTTGTGGGCACTAAGAATATACACTTTAAGGATAGATGATAGAGAGCAGACCACAGTTCTTGACTTGATAAGATTTTCAATGATAATCATTCAAACTCAGGCCTCTGTCACAACTTAGATGACAATAAAAATTATATTCTGGAAAATTGCTGTAGATAACTCAAAAAGTTTACTTTAGATAAACACTAATATCTTGAAGATATAGTAGTACTTTGAATAAATTTTTATGTAACTGTCAAGTAGATCGTGTAAGAGGGTATTTTAGTAGTATTCTACAAAGGTACATATTTTTTATTATATTTTCTGGGCTGGATCTGGTGGCAGAGTCCTATTATCCCAGTGAGTTCGAGGCCCACCTGGGCTACAGTGAGAACATGACTGAAAATAAAAAGACCAGGGATGTGGCTCAGTGGTAAAGCACTTGCCTGGCATGCATGAGTCATGGCTAAATAAATAAAAAAAATTGGGCTGTGGATTTAGCTCAATGGAAAAGCACCCCTAGGTTTCATCCRTAGTAACACAAAAATAAATAAGAGTTTAATATTTTCAAAGTTGATCAGAAACTATAATATTTATTTAATATTAAATTATTTAATACTGTTTAGTTTTTTTCACATTTAAGTAATGCAAAAACCTTTTGTATAAATTTACAATTTCACTCCCATTTCTAAAATTCATAAATAGATCTTTTGATTATTTAGCAGGTAACATCTAAAGGAACTGGTTTAAATCCTAATGCCAAAGTATGGCAAGAAATTCCTCCTGGAACTCCTGATGCCACTACTGTAGCTCATGGAACTGAAAGCTCTTGGCATGAAACAGCAGCCACATCAGGGTCTCATCCTGAAGGTAAGTCCTAAATGTTTCATTGGAAAAATTACATTTAAGTTAAATGGTAATGCCAAACCAGTCTGTAGAACTTGGAATACATCCTTTGATTGTTTACAAGATAGATTTGTAAATATTTTATGTATTGTTTGTATATATTGTCACTATTTGAAGTAGTATCTGTGACTGGGTCCAGTATCTAACCCATTTATAATATACTTATCATTTATAATTGGTTTATAAGTTAATTTTGAATTGCCATCATCGGCTCTGCTTTTTACTCACTGTTAAAATTTGGACAAATGACTTCTGTGCTTACTTATTCTTTTATCTGTAAAACAAATAATAATTGCCTACAGCATAAGATTTTCTGAAAATTAAGTGGATAGAATTCATTTGAGTAGTCAGATACATACCTAGTGCTATATGAGTTTTAGTTATTGTTAATTATTTTACCATATCTATAATGGTGAAAACTTACTCCTTGAGGAAATACTGTTAACTTAAAACCATGGGAAACTTTTTCTGACTGGTAGAATTCATTGAAATTGTGCTGTAGAAGACGTACTGACCAAAATTCTTGAAGGTAGAATTTAAAGAATTCCTATTTACTTTCCCTATTTTTTCTTGAATATAGGAAATGCTGAGCTTTCAGAAGATATGTGTAAGGAATATGAAGTAATGTATTCTCCATCTTGTGAAACCACAAGAAACACTACAGGCATTGAAGAATCAACTGATGGAATGATATTAGGACCTGAAGAGCTGAGTTACCAAATATATGATGTTTCTGGTAAACTTTGTTACAGTTTTATTGCTTTTTAAAATGATAATTTAAGGRCTGGGGATGTGGCTCAAGCGGTAGCGCACTCACCTGGCATGCGTGCGGCCCGGGTTCGATCCTCAGCACCACATACAAAAAACAAAG